TTTAGATTGTGAATAACAAAAAAAGCTCAACTTAGCCTGCCAGCTTCTTCATAAGGTGATTCATTATGTGCCTTAAACTCATCAGGTTCTCTCTAATACCGCTTATTCAAGTTGCTAACTCTGCATAACCAGCAAAGTCTGGATGGGGGACATATAGCAGATTTGGCTGTAAAAACATTCATTTTCACTCACTACCGACTACCATCACATGATATCACCAAACAATCTGGTGAATTGCTATGAAGGAAACATAAAAGCAGCAAGTATAGTTAACTGATAAAAGAAGGGAACCCCTCTTTCCATCGGAATGACGGTCTAAAGTCAAAAATAGAAGCTGATTCCTAATCCAAGGTAAGTGGGACATATTGGTTCTTAAGAAGTATCTAAAAGCTAACATCACACTTGGCTCTCAGGATATGCAAGGAAACCTTTGTCAAATAAACATAGGAGCAGAAAGACACAGAGCTTCAGGATGATTCATAACTAGCCGTGAAGAGCATCTTCAAGCTTTTGAAACTAAATTTTGCCTACCTAGTGACTGCCGATCTCCTTACAAAATTTGAAAATCATGGGCTGCTCATTGGTGGACATGCTTTCTGAGCAAAAGATTTCTTTAACCCAATAGCAGTGCCTCCCCCTTCCAGAATCAAGTACTATGTCAATAATGTAACTGAGTACCTGGCATCTTTTTTGTCTACTACTTAGCACCAATTCAACAAATCATTTTCATTAGAAAATAAGTCAATCATGTCCTAACTTATTACTTAAGGTTAAGGGATTCTTCAGATGGTTCAAAAGGGACAATGGGTGTTATTAAGAAAACGCCCCATACATGATCACTCTATCCCGATGCCTGCCTATAATCAATGCCAGTGGTGGTCACCAGCCAAGGCCGTGGGGCTTCTGCACATTGACCCCATCCACACCATGCCACCTATAAAGAAAAGCTCATTCTGCACACATAACTTACACGGTCCCATTCCTTCCATACTTGCTTCTCACCACCACTATCAACTGGCCTAAACACTAGATCACGTACAAAATCATCTAATGCAAAGCTGAAAATCAGAAATCACACAGAGCAGCTCTGGCTTCAATAAATTTGGTTGACAACAACAGCTACTGATTGACAGCACTAGTGAATCGGCGACCATTTTTTTAAACCTCAAGCAGAACATTAATTTAATCTGTCTATTTAATTCAAAAAATTAACACAACTGACTATAACTATAATATAATACAAAAGCATAACAGGAAATCAAAAAATAACAATGTACTATACATTAAAAATCGCAAAGATCATAATTGTAAGAAAATTACCTTCTTGGGTGCGACACCAATTTTTCTCTTCTTTAACTGAGAATCATCGCTACAATCAAGATCTACTGGTTGAGTCTCTCTTTCATGCACGGATTCACGTCGGCTTCCCCCTAACTCAGAATCCTCAACAACTTTACCTTTTCCCTTATCAGTCACAGAAACACCTCCTATGACTGGTTCGGAATTTGTGTCGGCTAATGACAGGTAGGGAGTTTCATCGACTGACGCGGCATTAATATTTTTGCCTTTTTCACCCTCTAATTCTACATTTTCAGTTGTGTTTTCAACATGACTACTGCTAGGGCTACGACTAAGTGGAGACTGAGAATCAGAAAATAAGGAAAAACTAGGCCCAGACATGGCTGAGGCAACGGATTCAGTAGCTACTTGTTTTGAAGAATGATATTGTCCAAAGCGCCACAATCTACGCGCAGAATGCTTCCGACCCATAGAGAAAAGAACAACCCATAGACATTGATTCACAAAAGTACAAAGGAAAACATAAAAATCCTATGATTTTGAAAATCCAATTTCACTAAAATGTACTTTCAGAAGCAAAAAATTCACCCAAAGCAAAAATGTCACCCAAAATTAGGTACTAGACGAAGACATTGAACGGAATCGAAAGAAAAAAATTACAATTCGAATGTGTTTCACTTTTACGTTCTCATCGGTTGGCTATGGAGTTATGGAAAGTGTACTCTGTTAACTGATAGAGAAAGAAGGAAAGCGTGGGAAGAATGGGCTAGATCGAAGATAATAGCGAGATGGGTAGATCGTGGGAAGAATGGGCTGGATCGAAGATAAGGGAGAGATGGGTAGATTGGGCCGCGTGAAATATAGGGGCCGGGTAAATAGATTGGGCCGACTGGGTAGGCAGGGTAAGTAGTTTGGGGATGGGTATTAAAAGGTAAATAGTTTGGCCCTAATAGGTATAAAGTGAGATTTTCTCTATTTTTATATGTAATTTAAATATTTATTGTATTTATTATTAATTAAATAGTAATAATAAATTTTTTCAACCATCTTTTGCTACTTTGTCACCAATCGTTAATAACATAGTTTTATATTTTATGTGCTCTTTTTTCGGAGTTGGTTGAGAAAATTCAAATGAAAGTGAAAGACAATTAAATCTGTAGTTACTTTCTAGTTCTTCTTACTCCAACTTGAATAAATTTTATTTACAATCTAACTTTGTAAGATATTTTCTTTCAAGATCTCTATAGACATACTTTAAGCTAATTAGATCGTAAAATATTTATCATCGTTGTAAATACAAATTTCTACATGATTATTACTTTGGGAGGCAATGCTATATAGTGAGTTACGTTGACGATCATGTAAAAGGAAAAAATTAAAAATTAAACTTAATAAAATCTTAACAATGTTAATAATCTTTCAACAAAGACTAAAGGGGGTTGAATGAAATTATTGGGTACATCGTCAATATGAAATTACATCTCGGAAAGTAAGTAGAATAAACTTCAAAAAAATATTTAAAATTATTAAACAAGTTTAAGGCCTGTTATTACGTCTTGACTTTAGGCCTCTAAGAGATCATCCCTCAGCGGCTCAGCCATGGCTATCTATCCATATATAGTAAATGATTATTTTGAGGGAATAAATATTTGTAGCAGTTATATATAAAAAGGAAAGAACTCCTATATATAGAGTCCTAGAGTTGAAAGTAATATGTAGGAGGACTTCTGATCGTAGTTGAACTCCAATAGGTGCTAATAACTGTGAGAGAATTAAATGGTTAATAAATACTTTACTCCAAATGAAAATGGATAAAGGACTTCTACTACTATCAGGACTCCTACTCGTGCAAGATTAGAATTGATCAGTTTTTCTCAAGATGTATTATATCATACTCTTAGAAAAGCTTATTCGGATAAAACTATATATAATAATAATCGCGTTAAATCAGATGGGTATCATGCGATCACTATTATTTGTAGGGGTGTCAATGGATATTCGAAAACCGACTAAACCGACCGAACCGTACCGCATCGAATCGATTTGCTTCTCCAAAACTGCTTCTGCTTCTCCTCAAAAGCACTTTTTTTCCTTCCAAAAGCTTGGCCAAACACCTCAATTTTTGGCCAAAAGTGCTTTCGGCCAAAAAAAAAAATACTTTTGGCCAAAAAGAAGCTTGGCCAAACAGGTTATTAGCCACCTCTATAGGATTTTGCTTTATCACTTCCTGGTTTTAATTTCTAGAAAAAGAAAAGGAATAAATAAAATGTGATGTGACATAAAACATGCTAGCTAGTTGATTTCCACTTGTTTATCACTAAATCATACTCCGTAGTAGTTAATAATAAATTTATGCTTTTTTAGAGGGAATTTTTACATATTTATACTACATTATGAACCTAATTACCGTTCTCATTTTAATTATATATCCTGTATTAATTATCAGTTGCACACAAAGTAATGTATTAGACTCTAATCTTTCTCATTTTCTTCCTCTCTATCTTTCTCACTACCAAACACACTTCTAAAAGAATAATAAGGGGATGATCTCAAGGTATGTGAATAATACAAAAAAATGGTTTTAACAAAACTCTTATTCTAGAAAATTTCAAATATGAACAAGATTAGTTCAATTACCTCGTGAGTTTGAGTCCCCAAGATTTCTCTTTCCACGACCATTTAATAATTAAGAACTTATCGCCTCTTCTTTACACACGTAAAAATGCTGTTACCTTTGAAAATGATTAAAGAATATATTTATTTATTTATTGCAATGCGAGGTTTTGTAGTATTTTTAAGCATTGCAAAAAATTAAAGCAATGTTTGTGATTATAAAGATGTAAAATTCATCGATATCCATTAAAAAGTTTTAAATCATTAAATTCGAAAATCGGGTTTGGTGAAATTATTATTGTTTGATTTGAGTGTTGTTACAAACGACTGAACATATCCTTTGAAGTGTATACCTCAGTTTTGAGGAAGTTTGATGAAGCTTCGGATTAGTTTTAGTTGGAATTTCAGATTGATACTCGAAGAGGAAGCATACAAAATATATACAACTAAAACAATAGTATACAAGTCGTATGCCAGTTGTATGTAAGTTGTATGTGTTCGATCGGATCTATTCTGTACAACATAAAATTGTATCCAAGTTGTAAGTAAATTGTAGCGTTTGACGTTACTCTGTACAACCAAAATTTATTACAAGTTGTATATAAATTGTAGCTTTTGACCGGATATGTATATATTTTATAAAAAACTCTAGTGACTTTTTGTAAATAAATAAAACAGCTAAACAGGGTAAACATTATCCTAATTTTATATTTATATTCGAAGTCCGTATATTAAACGCAAAAACTAAACATGTCCAATGCCAAAAAAAATGAAGCAGCAGATATTGTATGTAAAAGTTGTCAAATTTTCAACCAAATCATCTACTGCCATTGATCATAAGAACATAAAGAAAATATCAAAGTGACAATTGGATGAGTTTGGTGCTAATCAACAATTACATGTTTGTACGGGCGGAAACAATCTATCAGTTGAGATAATAAAATTTAAACTTTAGTATATATCTCGATTTTGAATTTAGAAAAATGAAAATATCACTACTACTAACTTCGTTGAGTCTTATTCTTTCTAGACCGTATATACTCTAAAAAAAATACGCCTTTAATTAGCACTATAGCACCAACTATTGGTTTACGACAATAGTATTATTAGTTTCAATAATAACATTGTCACTGTTACAGATATACAGAGTCGAGTAGTTTCTAATTAGTCATCGACTAGTACCTCTGAATTCAAAATTAGGACAAGAGGAACACAGTTTGCTACTCAATCACTAGCAATTAACCTCATCTAAAATTGGAAATGAAAATATAAAACTAACCTCAAGGAATCATAGGTCGAAACTTCTTACAATCCAAGAAAGATTTCTGATTCCCACCATGACAAATATATAGCGTATTCGGACATATATATAAACAATTATCCACTAAGCTAACATTAACAGAACCTGGTTTTAGGCCCAATAGAGGCCCAGGAATAGGCCCAAACAAGTAATTCCCGCCCAATAACAATCTCTCAAACGACGACGTATTGTTCTTCGGAACTACAACTTTGACTGCATACTGTGTCGGTATCATGCCGGAAAACTTATTATGTTCCAAATTCAGAGCCGACAACTTCGGCATTGACGCCATGAAAGCCGGCAAGAAGCCATGCAAATTATTATAACTCAGATCAATAGCTATAAGCTTATTATTTCGATAACTTAAATCTTCTGGCATTTGCAATAACGTGAAGTTGTTGTAAGAAAGTGTGAGTTGTTGAAGAGATGAGTGGGAAAACAACACCGACGGTATAATCCCAGATAATAAATTATGACTCAGATCTAAAACTTGTAGAAACTTTAACTCTCCTACGTTTAACGGGAACTCGCCGTTTAAATAATTGTTACGTAATGAGAGTTCAATAATGGACTTGGAGAAACGTGACGTTAAGAAGTTTCCTGTGATTCTGTTATCACTTAAGTCTAAGAAAAATAGGTTTCTGAGCTGATAGAGAACAGGTAAATCTCCAGTAATATTGTTATGTTGAAGCTCAAGCCGGTTTAAATTGACTAAACCGTTGAAACTTCGTGTGATTGAACCGGTGAGATTGTTGTTATCAAGAAAAAGTTCTTGAAGACGTAAAAGAGAACCAATGGAAGAAGGGATTTTACCTGTGAATGAGTTTTTTGAAAGACTGAGTCGACGTAGACGAGTTAGGTTTGAGAGTGAATGTGGGATTAAACCGGAGAGGGAGTTGAAGGACATATCTAAAACTTCGAGATGAGGGAGTTTCGTCATATATAATGAACCGGAGTAACCGGCTTGGTCTAAGCTGATTTCAGTGACTCGGTAAAAACCGGAGACGATGAGATCACATCGGAAACCGCAAGTGAACCGGTCGGAGAAAATATTGTCGCATGGGTCTATGGTGAAGTTCCATGAGCTTAGGCATGAACCGGAGGAAATGGAATTTGGGTTTATTCCCTTTTTGAGATGTTGAAGTCCTTGTATATCAGTAGGATGTGTTTTGCACTGTGCTAATAATACAAAAAACATGAAAAATGATGCTAGAAAAAGATGAAGAAAAAACTGCACTTTCATCTTTTAATTTTGGGCTTATGGCTCTTTCTGTGTAGGATTTGGGAGTTTTTGATCTGTTAGACTGTTCTTGTTTTGCTTCTTGGTATAGTACATAAACTAGAAGTGAATGTGGACAGAGGTAACATGAGAAATTAATTTCATCTATAGAAGTGAATGAATTATTTAATCTAGATAAACGATACCAATTAATTGAAGATATCTCAATGAAAAATATAAAGGACATCTAGTATCTTTAGTTTTATCTTTTATTTTATATTATGTTGATTTGTGATGAGTTTAAATATAACGAAGTGATATGTGAAGATTCATATAGCTAACTCAACTTGATCCCCGCTTTGAAGTGCGATTGTTGTTAATGAATTATTTAATATGCAGAGTGCATTAATTAGCAATTAATATACTCCACTGTCTAAAGATAAAAAGAATGAATATGAATCTTCTTTTTTGGGATCTAGGTTAGCTGCATGATCACATGTGGCTGCTGACTATTGTGTTTTCTATACAGAGTCAGACTTGCATATTTTTTATGATAAAGAAGATTTTCTGAAGAGATTCTACTTTTAAAGTCCATATAGGATTAAGAGAACATTTTCATATCATCAATATCTTCTGCTGCAGAGTTCTACTGCTCTAGTATAGCTAGATGCACCTAAAGATGTTTCAAAACCAGTTGGGAAAATACTTAGGGTACGACCCATTAAAATTCCTAAAGTAAAGTCTATAATATGCAAATAACTTTATCTATCATTTCATAGTAACGGCAAAAGTTATGAAACACTTTGAAGAGCTCTTCAAGACTCTCACACATTCATTTATAAAAGGCAGCCCGGTTCACTAAAATCTCGCTATGCCGGGGTCCGGGGAAGGGTCGAACCACAAAGGCCTATTGTACACATCCTCACCCTGCGTTTCTGTTTCCATGACTCAAACCCGTGACCTCCTATTCACCTCTAAAATCTCGCTATGCCGAAGTCCGGGGAAGGGCTGGACCACAAAGGTCTATTGTACACATCCTCACCCTGCATTTCTGCAAGATGTTGTTTCCATGGCTCGAACCCGTGACCTCCTGTTCACCTGACAGCAACTTTACTAGTTACGCCAAGGCTCCCCTTCTCACACATTCACTTATAAATAGGCTATTTAATTTTGCAGTTGCGGGATGGTGGTGGGGAAAGGTATAAATAAATAAACAAATAAAAGCAAATAGCAAGCAGGATAGCATGTGTTAGTCCCCAGCTATTGCAATAGAAAATAATAGCACCTTCTGAGTCATCGAAAAAGCTTAATTATTTCTCCTTTGGCTTCTCATCAAGTTGTCTATTTACTGCTGTATACGATATTGATTCATCTCAGAACGTTAATGTGATTTCCCCGACCTGCAATTTCCTCAATCAGACTAGACAGATGGACATCAGACACAGGAGAGCAACATCATATTGCTGAGCAGTAACAAAAACAAAATGATAGGACCTAAAGTGGCAATTTATCAAAGCATAGTGGTGGTTCCAGCTAGCTCATTAGATAAGCTAAATTAGATACCCAGCAATTTTATTTAACTTGCATAGAGCATGCCATGTGACCAGGAGGTCACGGGTTCGAGCCGTGGAAACAGCCTCTTGCAGAAATGCTGGGTAAGGTTGCGTACAATAGACCATTATGGTCCAACCCTTCCTCGGACCCCGGGCATAGCGGGAGCTTAGTTCATCGGGCTGCCCTTTTTGCATAGAGCATGCTTCAACGAGCTTGCATGAATGGATTGCCAAAATACAGATTCTGGAGAAAAAGGAGGAAGCTATAAAAGTATGTCCGAGCAGTGAGAAACCACTCTGCAATGTAAGCAACAGGATACAAAAACCCCTGAGAACTTTTCCTTTTCTGACTGGTGGTGTCCAGCCACCTCGCTTGCACCTCGACTATTCCACTGGAAAGGCAAGAACAGGCAAGCACAAGTGTCAGCTAACCCATGAGTTGTTGTGGGACGAAATGAGTATGGGCGATGAAAGGGTCTACGACTATTATTCCTGTCCCTCATTGACAAGTGTCAAATAATCGCCCTGGCTTGGCTTTAAATATTCCTCAATAGACTCACCACCCTAAAAGTCCCAAATGGAAATAATTCCTAAGTAGTAAATGTTACAGTTGATAAACTAAAGTTAAGAACAAGTATCAATCAAATACGCCTCAGTTCCAAATTAGTTTGGTCAGCTATATGATTTGAAAATTTTGTTTTACTCATCGAGTATTGGGAAGAATAAGAATATGCTCCTGTAAGGTCATATGCAAAACAAGGCAAGAGCTCTAAGGTTAATAGTGACTTTTCTTTCAACAAAAAGGTCTAAGGTTTAGCCAACTTAGTTAATTGAATTACCAAACAACATTTTGTCAGCTAAGATAATAAATACTTGTGCAGAATAACTATACCGCAATTAAGGAACCGGGGGTGACAGTTAGACTCTGTTTAGGAAGCACTTCTTTGCCACTCACATAAATTGAATATTTACCGACGTTCTGCAAGTAGAATAGTCCACACACGTCCATCTTTATAGTTTCCTAAACAAGGAAAAGTAATTCATAAATGTATGAGTATCATGGACAACAATGTAGTGCACTGGTAAGTATACAAGGATGTAAATTAATCTCGAAGATTTTCAACATATGATTGGAATTTCGTTTGAACAACCTAAAGACACAACTAATAAATATAATCGTCAACCTTTCAAGCAGCAGCAAGAAAAGCAAGCAGCAAAGAATATGAGAATGCATGAGCAACTTAAAGTAACTCAATATGCTAAACAAATAAGTGAAATTGGAGTTAACTACAAGAAAGGATTAATTATGATGTACCATCATCTATGTTTCCTTTCTATGATGAATCGAGATAAATTATGGAATCAAATGGAAATTAAATGGAAACATTGACCAATTCCAACAAATTCTAAGCCAATATTACCTGCTGCTGTGAAATTATAGTATCAAGACCTTCTCTGCCCAAGTGAATGTCAACTTTAATATCTTCGGTCGCTCTTCCAGTAAAACCTGAAGCCATAAGTAAAATCTTTTAATCCTTATGAACGAAAAGATTGCAACATTATTTGGAAGATTGATTGGAACCACTCATTTAGTACTTCCAATGATAGAATCAACACTTGTAATCTTCAGTATTTCAGTTATCTAGACTTCCCCTTCCGTTCCCTAGCCATCATAATATGCTTATGCGTTACATCAGTCAAACTGGCAGGAAATCTTGTTTTGCATGTGCATCTTGCAAAAGAAAAATAATATGATGCTCACTAGTCCCTCCCATTCTTCGGTTTTGTTGCTGTCCCATTACACCCAAAGTTCTGCAAAACCTAATAAATTGCAAACCGTACACAGCTGGAATTAGAAATATCAATCACAATTTCTAGTCCAGATAAACACAATGTTCTTTATGCAGTCAAAATTTTCAGTCCACTGTGATAAGTTATTTGCTTCCAAAACTGCAAAAGCCAGATATGTGAAGCACTTAATGACGGTATCCCATAATTGAGTAAGAATAGATAAGTTTTCCATACTTCAGGTTTTTCGAATCAAATACTTCGAGTGACGGCCATGCAGAACAGCTAATGCTCCTTGAGCAGCAAGAGCTATTTGTGTACAAGCAACAGCAGCCTCCTTCATCCTGATAATTGCCCTCTTACACACTCTTCAAACTGGTAATTCATGACTGCAATAAAAGAATGACACAAACCAAAGAAAGAAAAAATGAAAATTCTCAGCAAGAGGCTATGCATCAATAGAGGGAGGCAATTAGCTCCAAACAAAGCTCTTAACAAGAGCTAAAAAGGGACAGAAAATGAAGTGAAGAAGTTGAAAACGTAGCCATAAACAACAACTACTACGTCTCAGTCCAAACAAGTTGGGTTCTACTATATGAATCTTCACACTTCACTGACCACGTTACTCCATTTAAATAATCTCATGCCAATGTTATGCGAATACAAATAAAAAGTATTAGAAGTTATGTATATTTTCTAAACGTACAAATCTCTGAAAGTTTAAATCTCTCCTAGAAAGCATAAGACCTACAGTAAAAGTGCTAATGTCTAAAACATAATCTCAACTAATATGTAATGCTATCGCCTATATAGATCTTTTTTTTCAACTGTGTCTAGCTTTTGCTAAGTCTTCACAGATTCCCAGAAAGTAACCATAAAAGCAAAAAATTAAATGCTGCAGTGGAAACAAAATCTCAAAAATTAGGGTCTGTTGGTATGATGGAAATCATTTTCCAAGGAAAATGTCTTTCTTGAAATGTTTTCCATGGAAAATATTTTCCTGAAAAGGAAAAGTATTTTCTCGTGTTTGGTTGGTGAATGGAAAATATTTTCCAGCAAAAAGTATTTAATATTAATATTAACAAGTCAAAGAGTGCTTTTATGAAACTTCTGAGTATTGGAGATTAATAATGTGTTAGTCGAAGCAAGTAATATGAAGTTAAAAGTTAAGAGAGTTGTTAGGAAAATTACTTGTGCCCATACATAAACTAAATCATTTCCTCCAATTGATGGAAAATGTTTTGCATGAAAAATAACATCTGACATACCAAACACGAGAAAAGCACTTATTATGGAAATTATTCTCCTAAAAAATGACTTTTGGTATATCAAACACACGCATGCAACTTCATAGAAGAAACAGAAGAAAGAATAAGTTATTTAATGAGTCTACTGAACATTGGACTACCTCTCTTACTAGAACACAGATCCTGGCCATTTGAGCTCAGTTCCATATCAAGGATCTGGACAGTGATAAAAGGAACTAGTTAAGGTCAACTAATAACTGTGAGGAAAATACAATTCATATACCAGAATAATCACTCTCAATAGGAAAGTCTTTGCAATTGGATGGTATACTGTTTGCACTTGATTCTGGTGCAATTGCTTTCTTAAGGACATTTTCATCACCTATCAGTTCATTCTTTTGAAACCATCGATAGAGGACACTGGACAATAAGTCTTAACACATGTATGATGTGCCATCAATGGAGAAGGTATTGACGGCATTCTAACAGGAAGAAAAACATCATCATTGGTAGGAATCTCTGGGACCTCAGTGTTTAACGTGCAACAGATAACTCCATCACGCATTTCAGGAAAAGCAGGATTGACAGACAATGCAGAAGATATCATTTGAACCTCTGAACTGCAAACAATAGGCTTATCACCATAATGATTCACACGCTTGTCACTTAACTCTCCGGGACGAGCACCGTCAGGAATGGGAAGCTGCTGATCTGGAGCTTTTGAAATTTCGGATACACCATTATCAGTGTCATCGGGAGTATCCAACAAGAATGAGCTGAAATCATCAAAATAAGACTCATCAATCACCTCATTTCGATCAGGGCCCACGAAAAGCGGCTCTTCATCATCTTTAGAGTTGAACAAAAAATTTGATAGCTCAACTAAGTAGTCATCAGTACTAAGGGATGAATTTCTCAAGATATCACACGAGATTTGGTCTTCCAAGTTGGATGATGAGTTGACAAGAGTCACAATACTATATCCTGATGTGTCCATTTTATTTGCCCCACCGTGAACCGGAACTACTAATGTATTTTCAATGCTCAGTTCTTTCTCGGCATGTTCAAAATTCGGCAGAGTCGGGACAGAAGCGCCTGCAATTGTAAAATCTGGCAGTTGAAATGACAAGGCACTGTCAGGAAATGCGGCAGTGAAGACCTGGCTGTCATATCCAGAAGAAGTATTTCTCACATCATCATCAAATTGACCTGCCATATCTAGCAGTATAGGTTCTAAATCCTCTGCTTCAAGTAATTCGCTAACTGGCACTTCATTTGGTTGAGACAACCCCCCAACAGCGGAGATCATCTCGCGATTCTCAGTAGGGGAAAGAGTTCCTTCAATTCCATTGGGGAAATCCTGAAAGCTAAAGCTGCCAAGGGAAACATCTCCATTATGATTTTTCCCAATGGGTAAAGCTGAAGGAGCAGTTACATAATCACTAGCATAAATGGAATTCCCAGCTCCATGTTCCAGAACGTTATTAAGTATGATATTAAAATTAGACTCTTGATTACCAAAATTATCTATCAATGAATCTACAAACATGCAATCCACGGACTGAGGATCGTCATTATTTCCAGAACCACCAAGATAATCGGCATCCACTGAGTCAAATGTGTCGTTAGAGATTCTCTTATGCATAGGGCAGTAGAATGAGGGGATGCTCTCAGCTTTTCTCTTCTCAGGAACACACTTTTTACTTTCTTTTGCCTGCTCAAATCTAATAGGGTCAGATTTTGTTGTCGAAGCAGAATGCTCAAACTCCATCATGAGAGATGATGCTTCAGAAGAAACAACTGGATCACATAGAAGAGCATGCCATCGATCTTGCAATTCCTGAACTGTAAATCTCCGGGAAAATTGAACTGCACCTTTGGCAAGTGATTCAAAAGATACACCAGCCTGGGAAAAGAGGATGCGAAAACTCTAGTATCATCAAAGGACAAGTAAATATAAGAACAGAAAATAGATCATATAACTCTTCCATCTTTGCTTTTCACAACTTAGTTAAATAATTATTAGGCCTATCAAATTAAACCCCAGCGCCTTTCAACGAAAAGTAAGAACATATGATCTACAGATCTAGTTCGGGCTAACACTAGTATTAATGGTTAATGGTGGCAGATACTTAAGTATAAGCATCTCCAACATGCCAATTGAACAAATTATCACCTTACTAAATTTTTAACCTTAAAGCTTCTGGAATGCTTCTACTATGGATTTCATTTCGGTGAAGCAATTTCGATCTACTCTATGTTTTAGTTTACACAATTCAGAAGCTACTGCAGGTTAACATGTCCTTCTTCCTTCCTCAATTCCTCCATAAACTGGTCAGTCAAAACACTGTTCTAAATTCCAATAAATTTAATATTGAAATTTTTGTTTTAAAAACTTTCTTAAAATCTGACAATAAATACTACATATATTATTAGAAACAAGTAAGACATACCATAAGTAAGAAATGATTAACTATACAATTAAATAATAGTTTTAACTAAACTTTTTTATTTAAATAATCTAATACATGTAGTACTAATACGCGTATTGATAATTCACATTGAACTCATAAATAGCAACCAACACTGTTTATTATTCTAGAACATAATACAAATTTCATTTCTAATATACATTGAACCAACTTATAAAAGAAAAAGCCCACGCAAAGTTCTCTCTTTCTTAATGAATCCAGTTTCTTCTCCATTTATCCAAAAAAGCATAGAATTTTCATACTCATTTTCTATTAAACACGCCACCATAATTGAAAGGAAAAAAAATAGAATTTCAAAACATTTGATACTTACAATTAAAAATAACAAAAATTAAATTTTGAATGAAATAAAAAGCAAATTCATGGAAACAAAATGTACACAGTTAAAGAAGCAAAACATTCACCAAAATCAAATAACACAGAAAAGTATGAATTCGGGAAAAGTAATCAATAAAACAAGTAGAGAAAAAAGGAAATATGAAAACAAAAGGAAAAGAAGTAGTATTGTTTTTGTACCTTAACGGCGTTAATAAGCAAACGGTCGTCTTCAGGAATCCAAGTAGAAACAGGAGGAAGAGCTCCCATTGTTGCGCGAATTTGAGAACTCAAAAATCAAAAGGTGGCGCCGCTTTCTAATTTGCTCTTTTTATGGCCACTATTTTCTTGCTTTTTTCTAAAGAGCATTTGAGAGTGAGACAGGGAGAATTATTATATTCCAGAATAAAAATAACCTTAACAAGAATGAGTATTTATACTAGTTGGAGATTTTCTTAATGGGGCCACATACTATACCCACTTAAAATTTTTACTTAATCTATATTTGTTGCCAAATCAGATTTATGTACTTGGGATTTTTCTGAATCTCATTACAAGCCATACGAATAGAAGGAAAATTAAAATTAAAATTAAAAAGGGATCTTCAACAAAGTGTTGAATTATTTCCACATATGTTCAAGTGACTTCACATTTTTCTCATAATTGCACAATATTTATTCTTATTTAGGCTCTCTTTAAATATTAAATTAAAATTATCAAGGATATAAATAGTAGAGTTTTAAAATAGTTACTACTAATGTAATCAAGAAGTATACTATTATGTAACAAATCAAACATTTTAAAAAGTTTAATAACTTTTATTCCTTTTTATCTAATCTCAATTTGACTTCTCAATCTAAAAGGTGTGAAATTCATAAACTTACTAATGAGCAAAAAGTGAGCCTTCATATCTGAGATTTGATAGTATCAATAAACATAATCGCTATTAAAGTAACTTATTTAAACATTTGCCAATTATTCTAATTTCTAAGCAGTATCTTTGAGATTTAATTGGATTTAGATAAAAGTTTTTGCAAAACAGAAAAGAGTCTTTTCATTAGATTCTCCCTACCTGATTTTAGAAATACAAGATCTATTGACACCAGACTAAGAATATATTTCACGTACTTTCGCATATTTATAAGAAAGTAAGATTAAGGGTCAAAAATACCCTTTTATTATGAGAAAAGGGATAATTTATACCTTCCATTAGAGGTGTACATGGACCGGGTTAGTTCGATTTTTATCAAAACCAAACCAAATCAACTATATCAGTTTGGATTGGTTCGATTTTGTTGGACTTTTCGGTTTTTTGGATTTTTTGTTACTTAAATATTATTTCAATCTTACTTTGTTAAATTTTTGATAAGCAAGTATATGTTTAGTAAAAAATATAATAAATTGACAAATATATTATGTATTAAAATATTCTTATGAGAGAATTTTCTTAGTAACACATAATAGTTAACTTTTTAGTCGTCTGACAATAATGTTTCGTTGATGTACACTGAGCACCTAATTTTGCGTCACATGAGACTATTCCTATAACAGTCCAAAAATAATCTTAATTGCTTTGTTTTGCATTGTTCATGCATGTTTAGGAAAAAAAAATTCTAAGTCATAAAAAATCACCAAAAATATTTTATACTTTATTTAGTGTGTTTTAGGATATTAGTTGCATTTTTATGATTTAATCATACACTAAAAGTCTTGTTAAAAAAATAAAAAATAAAAAGAAAAGAAAAGTGCAAAAGTGCTTTAATCAGAAGTAGTGTGTTTGATTCATATTTCTATTAGTTTAATATTAGGAAAACGAAAAATTGGCTAATTGTGCAAAAATTGGATCTAATTTGGAATTTGGCCAAGTTAGAAGGTCATGTGTTTTGTTCTCTTAATTGGGCAAAACAAGCCAATCGGCCCAGCTATCTTCAAAGCCTGCCCAATCCGTCCCATACCCGGTCCAGGTCTCTTAGTTTCTGAGATAATTAAACGACGTAGTATAATTGTGAAACTATGCAGTATTAGGTCAAAATGGTCAATCTAATCTCAGCCGTTCATTTCCTCTGATCCAATGGCTCTGAAATAATCATTTTCCCCACATAAATCTGTCTGAACTCCTTCCTAACCCTAGAGACCCCAAAACTCATCTCCCTCACCTCTCTCACTTGCCCCACCTTCCGCCGCCACCAAAAATCGTTTATACCACACACTCCCAATCTTTCCCTCAACCCTAATCGCCCTACGACAGCGGCACCACTCCAAACCACCCCAAAATTACACCACACACTTCCCATCTTCCCCTCAACCCTAATCCATCACCAATTTTCCCAAAATCCTCACCAATATTCTCCAATTTAGAATCTCAAAAACCCTAAAACCCAAATTTTTTTCCTTTTTGATTTTTGTGAGCAAATTCACCCGTTTTGACTAAAGACTTACACTGGTCAACTGTTCTTAACGAGAATAATTGGTTAATGTTGGTTTTGGGTCATTTCGTAGCTCATCGGATTTTCACCACTGATCGGCCAAGCTTCGTCACCTTCATCGTTCGTCGATTCATTTCTGGCCAAAATCAATATACCTTTCTTCTCATATTTCCTTGGTTTCTTTTTCTGTTGACAATTGTCATTAGGTGTTAATTTTGAATAGATTGGTTATTAGTTTGTTTAAAGTCAGTGAAATTAAGATTAATTAGTTAATTGTATGTGTTTTAGGTTAACTGAACAAATTTTAATTAAGTTTATGATTGTTAAGTTGTTTCTGCTTTGATGATCCTCGGTTGGTCTTAATAGAGGGTTTTGGCACCACATTGTATACACTTGGAAAACACTGGAAGAAATAAGAATTTCTCCTTATATTTTTGTCTATTTTCTTGTTCATATTGTTATTTTGAGTTTCGTTTCTTAACAGATAATAGATTTTTTCCAAATTTTATTAACATTATTGATTCCCAATTAATTCTCCAAACATTAGGACCTTGTAGCAAATCCAAAGTGGTGATAGGACATACTTGAACATCTTTTGTGAACTTCGTAGAAATGCTTTAGGCGTGCATTTAATTTACTATCGTGATTGTACACGTTCGCGTGACATAATTATGACTTCGCAACTTTGGCCAAAAACAATCTTGATATTAATAAAGCGTGATTAATTATGTACACGTACGCGTGACATGATTTTGAGCGCCTCAAATAAAATGGATTCACACACATGTGATCTGTTTCGAAAATTAAATCCGTAAAACGCCATAATTAAAAGAGGTAAAAAGGGTAAATGCACATAGGTTTAAAAAAAAGTAATTAAAATAATTTAATTAAGTCAGGTATGATTAAAGTGACCGTGCTAAAGCCACGGAATTGAGTGCCTCACACCTTCTCCCGGATTAACAGAATTTCTTACCCCGTCTTCTGGTTTTGCAGACTTTAAAACAGAGTCAAATTTTCTCGATTTGGGATTTAAAATAAACCGGTGACTTGGGACACCATATAATTATCCCAAGTGGCGACTCTAAAGTCTAATAAATAACCTCATTCCAATTAATGTCACTTAAATTGAAAAAAATCCCTATCCCCCCGGGAAAAAGGAGGTGTGACATACACTTTCAAGGTTAACCGAATTTAGTAATTATACATAAAAATCAATATGATACCTAAATAATAATAATAATCATTTCACATTCGAAAAATATATAACAATTTAGTAGACCTTAACATATGATATGAATACGGAAGAACAAAGAGATTGACACATTTCAGTAACACTTGATGAGAAAGTGATCATACAATCCATTATTTAAGGTTAATAAATATGGAGCACTTCATATACTATTAAATATTATAATCAACAAGATAATCCCAATTATTTCTACACATTTTTTAAAGAAAATTCTATATAAAATCTTAAAAGTATATACAAAAGTAAATATTTATATGTCGGTTTGGTTCGGGTTTTTTTACTTAAAACCAAACCAAATCAAACCAAACCTAGTCGGATTTTTTAATCGGTTTGGTTTGACTTTTCGATTTGGTGCGATTTTTCGGTTCGATTTGTACACCCCTACCTTCCGTTATACTTTTGGTCCACCCTTACCCCGACGTTATAAAAATGGTGCAAAAATATCCCTCCTCCGTCAAGGATGTAACGACCCGACCGGTCATTTTGAGCATATGCACTTCACTCGCCAGTTCTCGAGCATGACTAGCCCCATATGATGTATTATGACTTATGTGAATCGTCGGTTTTGGTTTTCAGGTTAATCAGAACATATATGGAAGAATGGTTCTCAACTTAAAGCCTTAAATTTGAAAGGTTTGACCATGTTTTGAATTTTAGTATTCGATCTCGAATTTGGATTTTAATGAATTGGTTAGCTCCGTTAGGTGATTTTGGACTTGGGAGCGCGTCCGGAATGTGATTTGGAGGTTCGTGGTAGAATTAGGCTTGAATTGGGGAAATTGGGCATCTCTCGATCGGCAGCGTTTTGATATCGGGGTCGGAATGGAATTTCGGAAGTTAGAATAGGTTCGTAGTGTCATTTGCGATGTGTGTGCAAAATTTCAGTTCATTCGGACGAGGTTTGGCAGGTTTCAGCATCGTTTGTGGAATTCGGAAGTTTAGGAGTACTTAGGCTTGATCCGAGGGTGATTAGGTATTTTGATGTTGTTTTGAGCATTTTGAAAGTTCGACTAATTTTGAATGTTTATACGTGACTTGTTGATATTTTTGGTTAAGGTCCCGAGGGCCTCGGGATGATCCCGAGTGATTTTGGAAGAGTTTGGAAATTTGGTAATGCAGTTGAAGCTGCTAATTCTGTCTTAACCGCATCTGCGGAGTAGGAATCGCAGGTGCGAGGTCCGTAGAAGCGGGTATGAGGCGCAAGTGCGCATGTGCGGCTTGGTCCCTGCATCTACGGTGACCGCAAATGCGGTCAGGATATCACAGAAGCGGAAGTGGGCTTCTAATGAAATTCTACATAAACGAAAAGGTTTTCGCAGGAGCGGTCCCGCAGATGCGGGAATGGGACCGCAGATGCAGTTTTGCTAAACGGAACCTATAAGTTGGAGACTTCACGAAATTTGGGTTATTTTCCACCATTCTTGTTCTAAATTGGAGCTTTTCGGAGGGTTTTGAAGAGTGAATCAAGGGGGTTTTCGTTGAGGTAAGATACTTGAACTCACTACTCGTGTGTATGGTGATTTCAGTTGTTTAAGCATGTAATTAAAAGAAGTTAGGGATGACATTGAAGGGTTAGGGCTTGGAAAGTGGAGAGTTTGATTAAAGGATTTGAGGGACCATTTAAGGTCTGATTTTGATGAATTTGGTATGTATAGACTCATGAGTGAAAGATCTTTCTAGTTTGTAATTTGTCGGATTTCGAGACGTGGGCCCG